GTAAATTTTACGATGTTTAGCTAGTTCTTCTCAAGAAGAAATTTTGAAGCAATAGACATAAGTTCAAAATGAATGATACGTTTTATTACTATTAAGACCATCAAGTGATTTGCAGTCATTAGTTTTGGTCATTTCGCCAGGTTTTGGAATTTCGCCAGGTATCGGAAGTTTCGGAGATTTCTCAGGTTTAGGTTTCCGAGGTTTCGGAAGTTTCGGAGATTTCTCAGGTTTAAGTTTCAGAGTTTGCCGAAAGTTTCGGTTTAGTCTAAAATACTACCATCGTACGTACGTATGTAAATGAACGATATCAATGCACAATAGAAGTGATCTTCATGAATTCATATGCATAAACTGTAAACGAACTCTAAATTTAGTAGCAAAATTTGATGATCATCAGTTCGTGTAACTCAAAATCAGATGATCAGTCTTGGAGAGTCATTTTGCTAGCAAAACTCCGATATAATAAAACTATGAATATTAGCGTTAGGTTTTGTTACAAATGCATATTGTCCTTGTGTAACAGTTACATACTTTAGGAGGATATTGTTCGTACGTACGTACGTATTTACACGTATAACAGATAAATAATAAAAAATAAAATTATAAAAACTTTGTCCGTATCGAATTAAAATTTTAAAAAATTGGGTTAAAAAAAAAAAATAATTATGTCAGCGAAAAAAGAGAATATGAGTAACTACATTTACAAATATAATTCTGTAGTCATAGCTATAGCCATGTATATTAATATTTGCGAATTTAACTATAGCACCAGAATTTGTTGAAAAATTGGAAAAATATCTAAAATCCTTTAATATAAAAAGTTTCGATTACTCGCAGTTTGGGAATCCCAAACGTATTGGCCAGGGAGGTTTTGCAGTCGTTTATTCGGCAACTTTTGATGGACAGATTTATGCATTAAAAAGTTTAAATATGAATTTGAAATTCGAAGAGAAAGAGTTCAGACTATTTAAACGTGAGGTAATGTGCTTAATTCTTTATTCAATATTAGGACCTGAACTCTGACTATCCCACTATTGCACGTAGATTAAGTGCCTTTATAAGATCGATGAACATCCAAATATTATTAAATTTCATGGAATCTCTAGAGGTAAGAGTTCACAATTGGCCATATATTACCGATATACTATATAAGCTGCCTTCTTTTTACGAGACTTGCGGAGAAAACTAGATTTTGATCTGTATAATAATGGTAAAATTCAAATAACACGCTGAAAATGGTTGAATACCACCAAAATATACTTTATAAAGGGTCAATTATTACAATATTCGGTAGTTCATGATATATGCATATTAGGATATTTGATAGGGGAACTATTATGTCACAATAAACAAAATTTGATTTTGCTAGTGTTTTAGTAATTACGTTTTATTTCATTTACGGTAAAACGATCAAAGTTTAAATTGCCTCAAGTATAGGTCTGGTTATTATAAAACTGAGTAATCTTGCAAAAATCTTATTAAGCCCCAGACCTAACGTATTTGTAAGATTTCTCCAATAAAATCCCAATATAACCTCGCAATAATCTTAACTTATACTGTATTCAAACAAAATTTTAGACTTTACGACGGGTAATTTCATGATGGTGTTACAGTATGCTAATGGTGGTACTCTTCGAGATCATTTACGTAGCAAACAAAAAGACGGTATTTATAAAATTTTATGGGCCGATCTTATCCGAATTGCAAAAGAAATTACACGTGGATTAATCCATCTGCACGATAAAGATATAGTTCACCGAGATCTAGTAAAGTCTATTTCTTTTAAATGTTCTAACTTAATCCTCAATTTAAATTGACAATGTTTTTAAATCTTGTACATAGCATTCTATGAATATTTTAATAGATAATGATAATGTCCTAATCACTGATTTTGGAATATCAAAGCAATTAAATGTTGCTACTACTGGTGCCCCTTCAACCCCAGGTGCAAAGGGCATATCAGCATACGTAGAACCACAATGTTTCATTAATTACGATGATAAAGTAGTCGAAATCAACAAAAAATCTGATATTTATAGTTTAGGCGTACTATTCTGGGAGCTCACAAGTGGAATCCCTCCATTTAATAATTTTCGCAATGAAGCTATTATCATAAAAATTGCACAAGGTCACAGAGAAAAAATCATTGAAAATACACCTCCAAGTTATGCTGAACTTTTCAAAAGATGTTGGTTTGCTGAACCAAACCAACGCCCATCTTTAAACCATGTTTTAGTTGAACTTAATAAATTATCAACAGAAACTACTGTAGAATTTATTATAAATCACATGAATAGTGGTGATAAAAATATCCCTAGACTCAGATTCTTCCGATTTTTCCACCAGCAACGGCACTAAACCTAAATATTTTTTGAATAATATTTCGGCACCGTCAATCGAATTGACTGAAGTGATAACTCCGGAAATTAATACTTTTGATTATAAAGAATTTAGCGAGCATCGTAAGATTGGGGAAGGTGGATGTGGAATAGTTTATGAAGCAAAGTGGAAAGGAAAGGGTCTAATGATCGCTCTTAAGAGCTTTAATGTGCATACACGTAAAACGGTCGAAAATACACACATAGATTTATTTGAAGAGGTATAGTTATTATTGCAGATAATTATTTTAATTTATGAAATAAATATGATGGTAAAAATTGTTAATTTTATAGCATAAATTTTTGGGAAAAATTTCACATCAAAATATTATTAATTTCCATGGAGTAACTATAGGCATGTAATACTATTTAAATTATTAATTTGTTATCCGCCTTAGCATTTGAATGGTAAGGAATTCATCCCCCCGGAAACTGGTGAAGCTATAGTAAATAGCAGAGATAAGTTTGTTATACAATCTTTTTAAATTTAGAATATGGAGTTTTCCAAAGATAAATTATTTCAACTAAATAATGAATAGTGAGATTTAAGCATTTTAATTGTGATCATATGCTTTCTTTAAAACATGAAAGAGGAAAATATATCAACATATTTATATCTCGCGACTCACTGACTCAATTTTAAACATTTAACTATCATTATGACCAGATGGTTTACATAGATTATTACCTTTAAACAACCTTATATTTTATTATATGTACCAAACTCCCATTTTTTACTGTACTATTCGTAAATTGCTAATTATAATACTGGATCTTGATCATTAATTCATGCATAACTATAGATCCTATTAGCGGTTATTTTCTAGTTTTGCAATTAGCAAATAATGGCAATCTGAGAGAATACCTTAAAGAAAATTTTTCGAACCAAAAATGGGATACGAAAATGCGTATTGCGAGTGAAATAATTAATGGACTCGAGTTCTTACATTCTAAAGATATCATTCATTGTGATCTCGTAATTAATTTATTTAAAATTTTATTTTTGATTTAAAAAGAAGCTTATTCTAAAATAACTAATTTGTTAATTTATAGCATTCGAAAAACATCTTGGTCAGCGATGGGCAGATAAAGATTGCGGACTTTGGTTTAACTACGCAAAATAACGAGCTTTCAAGAAATTCGAGCGAAATGCTTAGCTACATTGAGCCCAAGTGTTTTAGTGACATTTCATATAAGCGTGACAAGAAATCTGATATCTACAGTTTTGGGATAATCCTTTGGGAAATTTCAAGTGGCAGGCCTCCGTTCGATTCTTTTTCTAAAGATCAGATTGCCCTTTACATACGTGAAGGCGGAAGGGAGATACCCATGAAAGGAACACCATCTCAATATGTTGAACTTTACGAGCGATGTTGGGATAAAATTCCAGAAAATCGTCCAGATGCAAAATTTCTTATGGATAATTTAAGTCAGATTAATCCAATACAATACAGTGAAACTGAAGGTATGTGCTTGAATAATATTTATTTCTTGCTCTTTTCGAACAAGTAGGTAATGAAAATCCTTTTTATTGAATTTGAACATAGAATTGATGACTACTTTCGCGAAATTGGATTTAAACCTAGAAATGAAAACTACTTTCGAAATATTGACAATCTATTATCCAATAATTTGGAATATAAAATTTACGGCTGAAGAAATTTATAAAATTTACAAGAATGCGGAATGTAATCAACAAGTTTGTATAATTCTGGCTAAACGAGTAAAGGGCGCAGGAAGATTCATAGATGGAATTATGAAAGATATAGGAGAGAATGAAGAAAAATTTCGTGAAAAATCATATTTTTTAGCTTTTAAGCATTATGAAAATACTTTAAAAAATATTAAAGAATTTACTGAGCAAGTGTCAAAATATAAAGGTTTTATAAAATATTTTAATGCAAAAGAGACTAAAGAAAGGTTTAAAAAATTGACAGAAGAATATGATGCATGCATAAGGGATTTGCACTTTGCTATTACTATCGCCAGTGATCATAATCAAGAAGAAATCCACAGGACCGAAGAATCTTTAGACGAAGTTGAAAAAGTAGGTAGAATTATTGGAAACATAAACTAATTTTGAGATTAATATATATATATATATATCTTCATTTATTCTAGGCTCTTAAGAACGTTGATATTGGAATCAATGATGTTAATCAAAAACTTGATTCATTAGTTGAAAGTATTGACCTTATACAATCCCAAATAAATTACCAACCAGAGAATATTCGCGCACAAAGAATTGATCAAAAAGAATTTAGGAGTCCTCCTGTTAAAACCGATAAAGATACTCGTTGTAATGGTAAAATCATTAAAAAGCTTTATGGTACGATTGAAATTGCATACAAATCCATCGGGGATTTTAGCAATTCTGAAAGTGAATTAGCAATACTTGGGAAATTAAGTCAATCACCATATATTCTCCGTTTCTATGGTCTCACAAATTTTGATAACCATGATTTTATGGTTTTTAATTGGGCTGAATATGGAACTTTAAAAAATGTTTACAACAATTATAGTATTCCTTGGACTAAAAAATAAAAATTATTCGAAATATCTGCCGTGCTCTTGTATATTTACGTAGTGTGGATATTTTCCATCATGACCTTAGATGCAAAAATGTTTTTGTAAGTTTAACAATTTTAATGAAATTAAATGTTACAATAACATATAAAATAATAAATTGCTAATAATTAAATGGTAGATAGGAGAATATTTGGAACCAAAGCTTGGGAATTTTAAAAAAACACGAGTCGCAGATGGACCCACTGAAGATATTAGTAGAAAAATAAAAGATGTTGTACATTGGATGGCTCCCGAGTTATTAGAAAAATACAAAGGTCAGAAACGTGATGAAAACATATATACATTTCATTGTGAAGTATTCAGGTATTTATCATTTAATAATGATCATCAAATTAAAAATTTTAAATATAATTTTAATAATTTTATAATTAGTTTTGGAATGCTTATTTGGGAACTTTGTTATGAAAAAATACCATATGAAAATTGGGATATTAAAGCTATATTTGACCATGTTTTAAGTGGTAAAAGAGAAAAACTTTTACGTGGAAAATTTAAAGATATTGATAAAAAAATCCAAGAAGAATTTATTAATATTATTAAAAACAGTAAGATGAAGTTGATTCCAATTGTACATCTATTATTTGATCCTTGCTTAACTGATTTATATATAATATATAGCATGGCAGCATATACCATATCAACGAATAGAAATTGCAAAAATAGATGACAAACTTGAAGAATTAGCCAAAAAATATTCAAGCCCATTAAATGAACCATTGCTAAACAAAAATGAAGCATTGGATTTTGAAGAAGAAGAGAATGGGATAGTATTCTATCTAAATGCATCAGAGAACACCTACTAGTTGAAAATAAATAGCTAAATTTCACTACAATCAGGAAGGAATTAAATATTTTTAAAAACATAAAAATGCTTTAAAAAAATACAAAAATTGGTAACAAACAGCAAAATTTTATAAAGATATACAAGGACAGTGTTTCAACTCGGTAGCAGCTTGCGGGTTATTCATAGATCAGCCCTATTTTTAGTTATCTCACCTTAAATTGTTATGTCCTGATTACAGCAATAGAAATAATATAATTATGTTATTTTCACTTAGTCTTGATTATAAATGACAATGAGATCATATATGCATTATCATTTGAGTGACAATTTGTTTACGAGTTTATTATCACACTTAGATACCCTATGATCATAACAATAAGATCATATATGTATTCATTCAAGTGATAATTAGTTTACAAGTTCATCGTTATGTTTAGATATCCATAATCAATGATGATTAGATTATATATGTGTTGTCATTCAAGTGATAATTAGTTTACAAGTTCATTATTATACTTAGATACTCTACAATCATAATGATGAAATCATATATGCATCATCATTTGAGTGCTAATTGGTTTATGAGTTCATCATCACACTTAGATACCCCATGATTTATAAAATATATGATGACAATTTTATTTAGTAATATGTCAAAGCACAAATTTATCTTATCTTTTTTTTATAACATTTTGCTTTGATGTATTACAAAAGTTTGCTATATTTTTTAATCTTAGAACTCTTTCTTGTATAGTTAGTGTCTTTAGTTATTTTTGCTTCATATTGATAACTTTTGCATAACCTTGATGTATTACATTTTTTAATATTCTTGACATAATAATTTTGATATATTACATTTTTAATAACCTTGCATATTACATTTTTGATAACCTTAATATATTATATTTTTGGTAACCTTGATATATTAACTTTGATAATCTTGATGTACTACATTTTTAATAACTCTGACATATTATATTTTTGATAATCTTGATGTATGACATTTTTAATAATTTTGGTAGTCTACTTTTTTTGATATATCAAAGCATAATTTTATCTTATCTCTTTTTTATTATTCTGCTTTAGAATAATATTGAATGTTTATTATATTTTACAATATAATCACTTTAGTCTTTTATTTATTCAGAAGTATATTTTGATTAAAATTGTATAGCACAAAAATGCTTATTAACTATACTAGGTTTTGTATTAATTTTTGATTTAAATTTTTTTTAGCACTTATTGTAAAAAGTAACAAAATCTCTTTATCCAGATATATATTAGTTAAATGTAGCAATATTTTCTCATTTTCATAACTAGATTAATAGCAATTACTTATATTTTGAGAGTTATAAATCATTTTTTAATTTTTTTTATATAGAAACACTCATTTTAGTCTTAAAATTTTACTTGTATTCTAAAAAATTAGTTTCATTCATATTCTTATATTCTTTTTTCTAGTAATTATAATTACTATATTTGTATGTAATAACGCACATATACATTATTATGAAATTGACAATTTTTTAAAAATCACCTAATTTGACTCAAAATAATGCACATGTGCATCTTGAAATAATGCAGTCAGGCATATTACCAAAAATGGCAATCGATTCTAGATTATTCCATTTAATTTTGATTAGCTTACAGCTACATTTTTCGATTACATTTTGTGGTTTTTTGCCATATATATTTGCGACAAAAAATTTTATAAACGAAAAGCAAAATGTTCATAGTTTAGTGATCTGTTGTGATCTTTTCTAGATCTACTCTTTGAGCAAAAGTGTATAAGACCCAAAAAAAGTTTATGTTTTACTATTCAAAATTTACAATTTGATTAGCTTATTAACATATAACTCAGCTTCTGAGATATAACTCAGCTTTTGATTTGTATAATCGAATGAAAAAGAATTGCCCGATCTGTGTTTCTATACTATAAAAAGGGTGATCTACATTGCCCATTTTTGGTAATATGCCCAACTGTAATGCA